GGGTGGAGGAAAAAAAACTTGCGCTAATATTGCTTGCTATTTTAAATTTGTGGTTTAAGATTTTTATTTTCAATAACTAGTATAATACTGGAATGAGGATGTGTAGGTGATTTTTGTCTTGAAAGACTCTTTAAACCTCATAGTCCTGACACTGTAAAGTAAAGCTAGTATATTAAAATGGGATATTTTAATTTCTCTAAATTCGTGGTTCTGAATACTGATAAAACATGGTAAACTTGAGTCTCTTGTTAACTTTAGGGGTTATTAGACTTGGACTGAAGATGTTATTTTTCAAGTTTTCTAAGATAAAGTGAAATATTTGCTTGCCCTGAATTTTGTTATTTAATTCTTTGGAAGTTTAGTTAGTACTCAAAATGTTTTAATAGAGTTATGCTGGCATGATCAATTTTGTTGTAAGTTCTTTATCTTATGAGCTCAATACTTCTGTAAATAATGTTTTACATTTTTTTTTTTTTTTTTAGTACTCAAAATGTTTTAATAGAGTTATGCTGGCATGATCAATTTTGTTGTAAGTTCTTTATCTTATGAGCTCAATACTTCTGTAAATAATGTTTTACATTTTTTTTTTTTTTTCCAGCCCAAATGCAATATTAAGATTAAGATTTAATAACTTTGCCACAGAATGTAGGCCACAGAATGTAGTTGGGACCATATGTATGTATATGATGGAGATTCAATATATGCACCTTTAATAGCTGTATTTAGGTGAGTGTATTTATTAGCCTTTTAGTCCAAGTGTAGTCATGTATGGACATTTTTAGTTGGGGGGGGGAATTAGAGGCTTTAATTTTTTAAATATCTTGCTTTCTTTTGTTAATATCATGGGAGCATGAAGGTAAAGTTGTATTAGAATAAATTGCAAAACACTACTTTTTTGGATAGGTGTTCATAGCATAAATCTATTATGTGGCTTGTACTTAATGCTGACATTGCATGGAGTGTTAATGCTCATAGACAGGCAATCAGAAATGTATTTTCCAGCAGGCTTCCAATAGTGACTCCTGAGTTTTAATGTGCATTAAACGTGGCACCGGCCAATAGTGTCAGTATCTGATTGCTTAAGGGAGAATTGCAATCTGTGACTCAGGCAATGTTGCACTAAGTGTAAGTTATAAAAAATGGCTACTGAATGCCTTTTACATTTCTGTATGAAGAATGAAGAGACTTGTTCAGGGCATTTGATACAAAGGCTATCTTAAGCACTAATTTTTAGCACGTTTCCTTAGATTGCTGAACTGGGCATCATTGTGATTAAGTCACAGTGGGTAAAATTATCAAATTCTTCAGTCCTGGACGAGAGCTCAAATTTGCTATCAACTGAAATGATGGAATTTTTCCTTTTTGTTATGTTGTCATTAGCTTATGAGAATTGCTACACAACTAAATCTTTTTTCAGGTTAATATTTGTTGTCTAGAATCATAGTATTACTTTGTAGTAAGGTTTAGAAATAAACATAAAACCAACAACAATAAACAACGAGCATAACTAATACTGAATAAAGACTAATTATTTGCCTTTCAAATGACAATAAACCATTGAGGTAAAGAATTAGGTCCATGCACTGCATTTCCTGTGGGTCTAAGAGAGGAAGAAGCAGGGCATATGAATTTTATTACTTGTTTCCTCCATTCCTGGACTTTACCAAAATGTTTCAGTTCGTTCACTCCTATCCTTCCATTAAAATTTTGGGAAACATTCCAGAAAGAATATTCTGTGCAAGTGGGCTATAGTTTATTAGAGAGAAGGCACAGGATCCTAATCCTTTGAAGTCAGTAGAAGTTTTATCTTGGGACATCTGTTGAGTGCAAAGCTATCTTAAAAAAAGGTAAAACAAATGAACAAAACAGAAACTGTTTGTGCATATATACACACATGCTCTGTGGGGCAGAAATTGTACTTCATTTTCTGTTATGAAATACTGATTATGCTGCTGAAGTTTAAGAAATACTAATTGCATAAATGATAGTGCTTTCTCCTAAGGGAACAAAGCTCAGGTCATCCCTCTTTCCTGCCCAATTATAGCAATCACACCGCCTTCTCTCCTAATTCTCCTGAATTGTTACATAGTTGCTTGGGTTTTTTTTTCCTCCCCAAAGTTGCATTTGTTGAATATGTCTAGCTATTATTCAGGAGCCAGACTTTTATCATGAATGGAAGGAAAGAGGAGGTTCCTCTTCCTGTGTTCTTTACTTCAAATGTCTTTCAGTTTATTGATTGTTAGTGTTTTCCTTAGGATTCCTATAACTTTTAATTTATATTTGCAATGTGGCACTGTTTTATGCAGGTGAACCTTTTTCTCAGTATTTTAATATATTGCTTGTTTTTCCTACTTAATTCTTTTTGTAAGACTGACATCTTAACATCTTTTTGAAGTTTTAAAAAGTATTTTATTTTCCATTGAAAATTGTCTTTCCATGGAAATTACTTAATTATCATACTTTCCAGGTTTGAAATTCTTTAGTAAGATAAACTTCTAAAGGTGCAAATATTATGTGGAAATAGAATTCGTGCTGAAAGCCAGCGAATGTTAAGCACCTGTCTGAAGGCTATAGATATATTTTTTCAGAGTTAAAGTAAGTTTTAAAAATTATACTGACAGTGCATGCACCCTCAGAATAATCCAATGTGAAATTTTGCATTATTGTGTGAGGGAGGAGGTTTTTTGTCTTGTTTTCCTGGAAAACCCTACCTTACCCTGCAAAGGTATGGACAAGTTTTCTATGCATTTTATTATTTGTGTTTTAAAAAGAACTTTTAAAATGAGATTTATGAGTTATCTTGTCTATATAATTAACAAGCAGAATAGCTAATCCCTCTTTCCTTCCCTGCCCTCCCCCTCCGACTGATTAAAAATACCATTCTCATTTTCTTTTTCAGTGGTCTAATAGTCCCTGAAGTGCGTGGAAATGAAACTGTTCCTGAAGTAGTTACTACATCTGGCTATGCATTGCTACACTTTTTTAGTGATGCTGCTTACAACTTAACTGGATTTAACATTTTTTACTCGTAAGTATTTTTTAGTAAGTAATTACTTTGTTAATTAGCCTATCATTTCTTTCAGGAGAATGACAAACCCAGGGAAAGTGTTTATCTATTGATTTTTATTAATAGCGTAAGAGTTATGCTTTGTGTCATGTTTCTAAAACCAGGGAGCTGGGGTTGTAATGAGCTGTCATTAAGGTACTAGTTTAAAAAAAATGAAAAAGAAAATGAGATAAAGTGTATTGTTCTGAATGAAGCCACATGGCCATTCCAAGAGTATGTTTTTTCCTATGCCATATGGAACTAGAATGTATCCCTTCCAGTACTTATCCAACATGTGTAGTTGTCAAATGCAATAGAAGGGAGATTATATCTGCTGTAATGTCAGTTCCCTTCTCTTGAACTAGGATCATCTGTTGCTTGATTTTTTTCTTGCTGAATGCACTTTATGGCTTTTGACACCTTCACCAAAGTTCTACTTCTATTTTTGTGTGAGCCACAAGGGTTTTATTCCATTTCTTCTCTACTTTTCAAGTACTTTCCCCTCCTATTGTCCATCTCAGTCTCCATTCTGCCTTTGTAGTTCTTATCTGGACTATACGTCTTTTAGTTTCTCTGAAGGCAAAGTCTAGTCTGGTATAACTATGCTTGCCTTTCCTCCAGTCTGCTTTTCTGTGTCAGCAGCTTTTTTTTCTTTCTTACATGGTCCAGCTGTTGATTACAACTTCTGTCTCATTTGGGACATGCTTGTGGCACATGATGGAGTGTCTCTTTATACTGGATTTAGTTCAAGAGAGGATTGCTTGGTCCTGTTGGACCTGTTTCTTCATGTGATAGTTTTCCCATGATTGAAGATATTCTTGTTCCTTTCTTTCAATTCCTTCAGATTCTGAAATACCAATTTTTGGGATGTGGTGGCCAGCACTGCACTTCAAATGTGGAAGTACATGTAATATTTTTGTCATATTCTTTATTAATTTAAAATTCCTGTTTGTGCTTCTGACCATAGTTTTACTCTTGGCAGAGGTCTTTGTTAAATTGTCTGCGGAAAGATTGTTTCTGTAATTTGCAGCAGTTTGCCTACCTTTTACCAGATAATAAACAGCTATTCAGAGTTCGGGAAACCTCACTAAATATGTTGTATTGCAAATGGCAGTCTGGAAGACTGGGTATTTTTAATTTTTGTCAGTTGACATCAGTAAAATGTAATCACCTGGCAGACTTCTCTACTGTAATTAGATACATTTTTCAGTTATCCCTGAAGCTTTTATTGCACTATTTTTGTTTGCCTTGGGAGCAAATGGCAATATGACACGGCATTCTTAAGAAATGAGTGTATGCGCTCTGCATTCTTTTATGACTTGGTAATGTGGTGCATGCTACATATCATTACCTAATTTTTTGGAAGATTTAAAATAAATGAAAAAACTGCCAGTTTTTAATTCCATTACATATATAACTCACAAAATTTCATAACACTGAAAATACTCTGTTTTTGTGTTTCTTCTATTGCAATGGATACTTTTAAAATACTTGGGGTTTTTTTAGTGAGCCAACAGTAACTCTTCTAATACTAAAAGGAGTACCTACGATTGCTTTTTATGGCTGCATTAACTTTTTTCCTCTCAGTGATCTCTTGCACTCTGCTTCTGTTACTCTCTTTCTTTCTTTCTTTGGTAACCCAAAGCAGTTTTTGGCTTCATCGTTGACTTCACCTTGATGGACCACTCATGTCCCTTTATTTTGGGGAAGACAGAGGCACTGCATCTGTGACCAAAATGTCATGCCAGTTGCAAACAACACTAGTTACTCCAGAACTCTCTGAGTAAATTTTGTGTTCCTTGGAGTCAGGCAACCTGCTTCCAACTCTGCCAATCCATTTTTTCTCATTCTGTTTGTATCCTTAACGAACCCATTGGAGTGGGAATGTGTCTACTTTTAAACTAGTATCTCTCTGTTGCTGGAAAGACTTGTTCACCTTCCTGCAGAACACTCTCTCTGAACTCAGGGGGAAAGGTTCCTTACAGCTGTGGTATACAGCAGTTAATGCTATCCATGGTTTTAATGCCATGTGTGTACTAGGCAAAACCCCCAGGACACTTGCAGTTCAGAAGTGGATTTTTTTTTTTCTGCAGGGTAACAGAATCAGTCCTCTGAGGTGTGAGTCTTTAGGAAATGAAAACACGTCTCCTGACGTTCCTACAACAGCTACATTTGGCCAAAGACCCTAACTTTTTCATCTCTTTCTTCCTTTGGTAAGAACAAGTAGTAACAGTTTATTCTGAGTTTCAGCACAATCCTTTGCTGTGAGTCATCAAAAAAGGTTTCAAATCCTTTTTGGACTTCATCAGGCACATACTGCCTGAGATCCATATTCTGTTCATGGAAACTCTTGGACCCACATACTTCAATGTCCTCCATCCCTCCACGTCTCCAAGGAATTGCCTGTGTTTCTGGAATCAGTTTGCATAATTTTGCAGTCCAGTTGCCTGTGATCTCAGTGTTTAGTAGGGTGTATCACATAAATGCTAACTCCCATAACAGTCACAGACTTCTTCCAGCCTAATCTTTCCTCTTTTTGCATCTCTGACTGCAAAGTTAAGGAGGCAAGGTTAAGGTGGCTCTATTATTAAGGTGTCAAAGCATGAAGTGCTGCCTGTACGTAGTTTCAGGATATTAGCCATCTTGTATTTTTCCTCGCTTGTTTTTTTAGATTTTATTCCCCTTAGATGTTAGACATACTGTTTTATAGCATGGACCAAAGCCACTCAGGAAAGCCCTTGAACTGTATGGTGGAGAGTTTAAGGGTTACTGCTCACAGTCACTTCCAGTGTGGATGTTCCTAGACATAATAGGCATTTGAAGGGACTGACTAGAGTGCTTATACTGGAACATAGGAAAAAATAGATGGTGATCTGTCCAGGCAGGGCCTGTCCTTCTGCTTAATGTCAACACTTCTTGATAAGTACAAGATGTTTGTGATCCTGACTGCATTGCAGACTTTGTATGTAAGCCTGGATGAACACCTTTTCAGCCCACTTGCCTGTAAAATCATAATTAAACTTGTGTTTTATCAGTACATAGAAATTTTTCAGGAAAAAAAGTACTTTATCTAACAAATACTGTTGGAATACTGTCAGATAAAACCATTGTCATCAACTCTCGGCTTGTCATTTCCCTTATTTTACCTATTTTTTTCAGAATTAATTCTTGTCCTAATAACTGCTCAGAACATGGAAAGTGTACAACCAGTGTGTCCGTACCAAGCCGAGTGTACTGTGAGTGTGACAAGTATTGGAAAGGAGAAGCCTGTGATATTCCATATTGTAAAGCCAACTGTGGCAGTCCAGATCATGGGTACTGTGATTTGACAGGCGAGAAGCTGTGTGTTTGCAATGATAGCTGGCAAGGTAAGGTTTTGTTATTTGGCATCAATTTCATCTTTAAAAAAGAACTGCTTTTAATGCATCCTGTTTAGTATGCAAATTAGCATCTTTAAAGAATAAGCATAAATGAAAAAATAATTTCTGGAGTAAATTTTAATGTGGACCTAGATGTGTGTACTTTAATGACATAAAAAGCTCACAGCTTTGATATTTTCTGTCTGAAGATACTGTGGAAATATCTGACCTAACTTTCTTGTGGTGGGCGTTCTTCTTTTTGGATCATTAATTTGAAAAAATAATGGCAGTAATTACTCAAGAGTTGTGAGCACTTCTGGAGACGTAAGTTCCTCCATAGCCTAATTTCCTATTCTATTAATTTTTTTGATGTCTAGATAGATCTGATTTTCTTCCCCCCTTTCTTAATGTCACATCATCACATCGTATTTTTAGTGCTTCATGAAGTAAGTATTCACTGTCTGGTTTTTGTATATTATTTGTATAGTTTCTCAATGAAAGAGGAAGGTAAGCTGTTTTGTTGTGATGGTACAAGAATATGTATGTGGACACGTACTGTGGAGTATTGGATGTACTGTAAGCATGCACTGTAGTTTTACTCCCAGTACCATAAATAATTGTTTCTTATTGAAGGTCAATTATTTAAGATCCTAAATGTTTAATTCACTTACTATAATTATGTTAGATGTTTGTGAATTTTTTCTTTTTATCCTTTACCATTCCTATTAAAAGTCTCAATTGGATTAGCTTGCTATGCATTGAAATTGCCATTCTTCTCTTAAAAGAAATATTATAATACCTCCAGATTACTTAGTTGATATGCCCTCTTCCCATTACTTCCTGCCTCTACTTTTGTTTTATTGCTCTTTCTTTTTGCATGTCAGGGGAGATAACTTTTTTACTCCTATTAGCTGTTGCACCTGTTAGACCAAAGACACCATGAGATTTAATACGTCTCTTCTTAATTATTAACGAAGTTGTTCATTAAAAGGCAGTCAGTGCACCCACAGAAAGGAAGTGGGTTAGCAATATGGTCATTGAATGGAAACAGTGCAGACTTGTTACTGAGTCCTCCAGAACCCTTCATGATTGTAATGCACAAAAAAAGATCCTGAAAGCTTAATCTCTATAAGGAAGTTGTGAACAGAACTTGCAGCAAGAATATCACCCTTTTATTTGTGCATTGATTCCTTGCAATTTCAGATCACTGCGTACAAAATGGGGAAAAATCCCAAATCTTTGGAAACACTTTTCAGGCTACACCTTCATTTACAGTGCTATAATCTTCATTAGAAGTTTTTAGCACGAAATTAAATTAAAGTCCTAACTTTCACTGTTAGTACCTTCTTTTCATCTAGCATTTCTGTGCATACTAGCTTCCTATTCTTTCCTACGGTGAGTAGGATTATATAGAGGTTATTTGCTTAGTTGTTCCTTGGGTTTTCACCAAACCTATATAGTTTCAATTTTTTTTTTTTTTATTCTGTGCCAGATGAGCTGGCTTGCCTACATAATTGTTTTTCCTTATTAAATACAAAACAATCTCAAACTTTCGTTAAGCTCTCTGGGAGACTACTTGCTTCTCTGTTCCATTTATTTATTTGCATCTATATACTCTCTTTATAGTTTCTACACTGACAGTATCTTCTATGTAGGTTATTTGCAATGCTGGAACCATAAATGTTTCTACTTATCTTACTACTCTTGCTGCCTGTCAAGTTTTTCTTGTGTTTGGTAATTCAAACCAACTGGCTAAAGTAGGGTCTTGATTTCTGTGTTTTTGAAGAGAATTTTATGTTTTAGTTTTTCACATTTTGGTTTTTTTGAGTGTGTTTAGTCCTTATATTAAAAAAAATCATTGGACTGCATTGATTGAGATGTACAATAAATAAAATCCATGGTTCAGAACATAAAAAAGGTATTTCATATTTTACAACACATGGGGTTTCTTTCTTTTACAGTGGTGACATCTTGTGGATGCTGTGGAAGGAGCATCTCTGAAGAAAATTTCACATTTAAAATTAGTATTCTGAGAAAAGAGAATAGGGATAGAGTAATTGTTTTGAGTAAAAAGTAGGGTCCTCTCGTTATTAAATGCATTTTGTGGAAGAAGGATGTTGTAGGTGTTTGCAGTTAGCTGCTAGTTGTAAAAATACAGAATAATGCCATGACAATAAAAACCTTTAGGCTTGGAAAGCAAATAATTTTATTTTTAATAATGTTTAATAATGTTAAATGTTTCTGAGATGGTTGGTCTGACAGGTACATACAGGAAGAAAATTTAGCATTTACTTGAAATATGGTTAATTTAAAATATTCAGGCAACATAAAGGAGGCTGAAGTTTTTCCTGAAGAGTGATTCCTTTTATGAGTACTACATCATATTATGCTGTCCCATTACTAGCTAATCTGTCTTGATACTCTAAAGCAGAATGTATCGATGCCTGCTGATACAGGCTGTGGATGTAACTCAGGGAGGAAAAAAAGATGTCTTAAAACTACTAACTTGCTCTCTTTTATCTGTGCCTAGCAAAGAAAAAAAAAAATGGGGACTTGGCTTGCACTATTTGACCTGTTTAAGAAGTTTGAAAAGATAGTTTATAGAAAGATGTTACCTTTTGCCAAATATGTGTTTACAGCCAGGAAATTCTCTTTGATATGAGGAACACTGTGTCTTGGATTGTCTCAGGCTGTAAGTGAGCAGAGGAGATTTCAAAACGGTTAACTTCTGTAACAGGGTTAAAAAATCAGGATGATTGGAAGGATTGTGAACAGTTCCACATTTTTAAAAGGGTTAGATGGACTATCTTTGGACATGCTGAAAATATTGCTAACTACTATGAACGTGTTGTATGCTTTTTAAAAGTAATATTACAGGTCTTGTTGATAGAGATGTTCTTTGATTTCTTCAAGGAGCTTGATTTAATACCATGTAAAGGAAGTAACTAGCCTGTTAAAAACTGTTTTACAGAAGGAATTCAAAATATAGCTACCTGTAAAATATGCAGTAGCCAAGTGATTAATTTGAGAACTTTCCAGTGACCAGTTTTTGTCTGATGTTAAACAACATTTTTATAAAAGATCTCGATTACTACATATAATTTTTCCTGATAAAATTTTCAGGTAAGATGATAAGATTCACTGTGTGGTAAATAAAGGAAAATAGTTTCATTTTAAAGAGCTAGAAATCATCCAGTTCAAAGTCATAATTTAGAAAATTGACTTAATATCACTTAATGTAAAATAATCTAGGAACAAAGACTGCAGGCTATATTGGCAAACGAAAGGCTGTCTGAGAGATTGTTAAGACTTGCAAATCACCGTAGGTAATAATTTTCACATGAGGAATTTTTATGAGTAAAGAGCAAGTGACCGTTTCTCTGAGATAGGCATTTGAGAGAGAACATTGGATTAGAGTGCTCAGTTTGGGGATCGGCACTTTAGGAAGGAGTGTAAATACCAGTGAGAACTCAAGTCATGACGCAAAACTGATACGCTTACTAGGAAGCAATTCTGTGACGGGAAGATTAAGGAGTTAGTGGTGACTCTAACACTTAGTGGGAGTCCTTGCTGAGAGCTCCTGCACAGGCATGATATCTCCCTGATCCAGTGTGATGTGGGGATGCTCTTGGTGCCGGTACCTTTCTCACTGGGTTCAGAAAGGAAAGAAGAGTTGAAGACTCTCTTGAATTTAAGAGAAACTTCATTGGTACTTTGATCATTGAACATCAGTACTGCAAGTGAAAAGTGGATCTAATAGGGAGGAATTACAGGGTGTGTTTACATTAGTCTTTAAGAGGATCAGTAGGGTACCTTTGAAGCAAATCTGATCCTCCACGTGTACTGTGTTGTGGCTTGCATCATGAGGTGGTTTGAAAATACAGGAACTGCATTCCTTTTAGATGAAACGACACCAGAAGATGAGCTCCAGGGTTGCACATAATGCATACCAGCCACAAATGGGCACTCGGTCCTAGGGATCGGATCTAGTCCAAAGTTAGAACACCAATAAAAATTCTGGAATGTATATAGTCAGTTGTTTCTCCCTACAGATCTGCCCCTAGCAGACAGAGAAGTAGCGGAAGACCAGATTCTGAAATTAAACTAATTAACTTTGAAATAAGTCTATTAGCAATTCAGGCAGCTTGACTTTTATAACATCTCTCTAGGGAAAAATGAGCCTTTATGTAAGGAGAAAAGTAAACAATGAAAGTGTAAAAGGAGTGCTATGACTACTGCACTGTAAACTTCAGTGTTTTGCCTTGCTCATTACTATGGCATTTATTCTAACAGCGTCTTGAGTATGGCCAGAACTACTATGTCAATGTGTGTCCATGCTTGAGTTAGATTATCCTGAAAGGACTAACCAGAGTTGAGTTCATTCTGACTGCTTCAGTGGAAGGCTTTGAGGTAATACACTCTTGTTTGGTCTGCCTTATTCCTCAGTGCTGAGATTTACCGAAGCTGTGCTTGTGGGATGGTGGTTTATTGAAACGGATGGAGAAGGCTTGAGATGTGAGCTCTGGTAGTGGCAGTTGAAATGCAGCACTAGAAAGAGCTTGTGCCAAATGCTGAGAGGTCTGAAATCTGAGATTTGGCCTGTTGTGCCTGGATGTTCTTGAACAGAAAGCATACAAGTATTTTTAGAGAAGAGGACCTAGGATGTAACATTTGCTTTGGACAAACCTGGTTTTGGAAGGAAAAAAACATTAGAAGTAGGTGTCTTATAACTTTTTTGCCCTGTGATAATCCCGTCTTTGTCTAGATTTTACTTTTCAGGTTTTCTCCTGGCCAAGTATCAATTCAGTCTGAAGAAACTGCAGTTTTACAGTCTGCGAGATGTCCTGTTAAATATATGTGCATTAATACTATATAGGCACATAAAAACACAAACCCAAGGAATCCTTTCCTCCTCCAATTTTAAGTTAAAATCCAATTTCTGCACTCCGTATTTGTAAATTTCATTATGTGTGTCATAGAAATTAGTTGTCTAAGGAAATTTTGCATAT